TTTTTTGGCTAGCAAAGGTATTGCCTGAAAGGAAAAAAAGTTTAAAAACCAAAAAGGCAATGGTAAAAAGGGAAAGCCTTTCAATGGTACAAAATGGAAGGCAGTTACAATTTACATTGAAGTCGCCCCAAATCTCCCGGGGAAAAACATTTTGAAAAACCTGCCCTTTCCCTGATGCTCTTCCTCTATTAATAATTGCTTGTACACAGTTACTAATGAAAACCCCTCGTGAAAGACCCCTAAACAAACGCGTCTTTCCCTTTCTAGGGGAGCCCTCCGTGCCCATTTGGGTTATGTCATCCGGGACCCTTTCTCCTGAAGGTCACCTTTAGGATGAACAAGACGGATCCTTTATTTGGAAGAGTAGAGCTCCTGCAACAAATCCCCCTTTAACGCCACATTCGCTACCAAAAATGGGGGAAAGAAAAACTGTATCTACAAGAAATTTACCCCATTTGAAACCCCCTTTAGTGGGGAATCCAAGATACAAAAAGGGATGCGAAAGATTTTTTCGTTTTCTCCGGGGAAACCCCCCTTGAAAACTACCCCTTGAAATAAAGGATTCTGCTCCAGCATTTTGGGGAAAACCCCCGCAAAATAATATTAAACCCTTTGGTGAAGAGGTCAAGGGCAAACAAAAGGTCGGGAAATACGTCGCCCACCTAACTTTTTTGGGAGTTTTCGGGCCCTTTTGTTTATTTTAGGGGGGGAGATTTTAGTTTATCCCTCCTGGGGGGACAGCAGCGGAAAATTTACTGACCACCCTGGGGGCCCTTAACAACAACAAACAGTTTGGGTTGTGTGTCAGGGGGGCCAACACTTTTTTAAATTTTTTCTTTTTATACCCCAATATTGGGGAGGGCAGATTACAGGGTGAGTTTAAAAATAGTGGCCTGTACAGTGGAACCTAAAATTTTCAAAATTTTAATCCTTTCCGGGAGCTAGTTCTAAATTCGAAAAAATCCCCGAAATTCGAAGCAATATTTCCCATAAACCCCCCCAAGGAAGGGGTCCTTGACCTGGTGAGGGGGGTCTTGATCTAGGGGAAATTTGGGTCTTTTGGGCCCCGTTCCCCAATTAAACCTGAATGCCTTCCATCCCCCCCATAGGCGCTGTAAAAATCCCACGGTTTTTGTGCTTTACCCCCGATTATAATAATTAAATTTCCCCTAAGAAAAATGGGGAAAAAAAATTAATCCTTCCCGAAACCCAAAAAAATTTCACAAAAAATTTCTTTTTTTAAAAATAATTACAGGTTTTTAAAACACACAACAAATTCCCATAGTCCCCTTTTAAATATGTATAGTAATATAAAATAACAGTTTTACTTACCTTTATTGAAGATTGGGGTGATGCATCTGGAAGATAGGGAGGAGGAGAGAGGGAGTTGGGGTTATTGTTTGGAAGGAGAATCCCTCTCCTGAGACTTCCGTATCAAAGCCCTCTCGGGGGTTGCTTCCTTCTCTGTATTTTAATGCCACTAGACCAGCTTGAGAGTCATTGGACCCCAGTCTCAAAAATAACTGTCTACAATCGTCTGTTTCTGTCTCACAAAATAACTATCCACAGTCGTCTTTTTGTCTCACAAAATAACTCCCAGTCGTCTGTTTCTGTCTCACAAAATAGTGTCCACAGTCGTCTGTTTCTGTCTCACAAAATAACGTCCACAACCGTCTGTTTGTCTCACAAAATAACTCCACAGTTGTCAGTTTCTGTCTCACAAAATAACTCACAGTCGTCTGTTTCTGTCTCACAAAATAACTGTCCACAATCGTCTTTTTTGTCTCACAAATAACTCCACAGTTGTCTTTTTTCTGTCTCACAAAATAACTGTCCACAGTTGACTGTTTCGTCTCACAAAATAACTGTCCACAATCCCCCTGTTTGTCTCACAAAATAACTCCACAGTCGTCTATTTCTGTCTCACAGAATAACTGTCCACAGTCGTCTGTTTCTGTCTCACAAAATAACTGTCCACAGTCCTCTGTACATCCTGGCAAGCTCAACAAGTCTCACTCCAGTCTCATACTTCTGTATTATTTCCTTCTTCACATCTATGGTGTTTCTCACTTTCTTTACCGCAGGGGTACCGCTAGCAAGTTTCTTTGGGCCCATGGCAGCTTATTTCACAGCTCCACAAGCACTAAACACAATTAAATAATCGTAAAATGTGTGAATGAGATAGCAGGTTAGTGTTCACTCGAGCGTAAACAAAGCTAGACTGCTCATGGCGCCTGAGCGGGGACGCGGAGAGAGCAGGCCAGCGGACAGGTCCCATACCCGTGGTCCGAAAATAGGGGCGCGTTCGATAATAGGGACATAGTTTGTCCGAAAAAATGGTCTTATTTTCGAAACGTTCGATATGTGATACGTTCGATTTTTGAGGTTCCACTGTAGTTATAACTTTTCTCTTGACATATGCAAGACATCACCCTCCCTGTAGAAGCAGTTATTAGATGTACTAGTCATTATATTTTGTTGTTGCAGAAGTACTATGAAGATTCTATGTTCAATAAAGCCTAGAAATAAGGCCTGTGTTTCTATCACAACACTCCCTCTCCATAGGATGTTAAAAGCACATGATAGGGGCTTCTTGCAGTTTTTGATGAACACGGAGTTCCATTAGTCTAGCCCTGGGGTAGAGTGCATGGGCATGTCATTTATCGCCTGTTCGAAGTCATTTGGCATCAGGATAACGTCAGATAGGCTTATGTTTACCAAATTCTGTGGCGCTCTCATAAAAAATTAATTTAGATCTTCGACTCAGTCTGGTTAGCGGCTTGCTAAAAACTGAGTCATACTGGGACTTGAGTAGCTCACTCATTTCCTTGCTGTCATATGTGTAGGTCCCATCTTGTTTAAGTAGGGGCCCAATACTGGATGTTGTTCTCGACTTTGATTTGGCATAAGAAAAGAAATGTACTTTGGGTTTCTTTCAATTTCATTTATGACTTTTAGTTCTTCCCGCGATTCCTGACTCCTATAAGATTCCTTTAGCTTTAGTTCGATGTTTGCTATTTCTCTGACCAGTGTCTCCCTACACATTGCAGATATATTGGCCTCTGATATGTATGATAATCTATGTAACTATATGTGTATACCTGAATAAACTTACTTAATTATTTTTTTTTACTAATGTAGGCCTCCAGCTGGTGTTAACCTCCAGGACTCCACTTGATGTCGTGACGCCATCGCCGACTCACTCTGGTTTTACCGCCAAATTTAAATTCATCACAAGTAAGGAATGTTGTTTCCAATATGGAGATACATTATTATTATAAAAAAAGCGCTAAAACACACTAGGGTCAGTGTGGAGAACAGCTGCACGATTGAATTTGGTTATTAATTATAGTGTATAATAAGCGAGTTGTGCAATTAGTTTTATTTTGTGGAAATAGTCCAAAAAAGTTGTGGAAATTGTTAAAATAATATTTTATTCGTATTTTTTTTACACAAATCAATTTTACAAGCTAAGAATTGTATCCCACTTCATGTCATGTTTATTATCTACACTCTTCAGGTCACTTGTTCTATCTAGGCTGGAATATTGCTGCACACTAACAGCACCTTTCAAGGCAGGTGAAATTGCTGACCTAGAAAATGTACAGAGAACCTTCACGGCGCGCATAACGGAGATAAAACACCTCAATTACTGGGAGCGCTTGAGGTTCCTAAACCTGTATTCCCTGGAATGCAGGCGGGAGAGATACATGATTATATACACCTGGAAAATCCTAGAGGGACTAGTACCGAACTTGCACACGAAAGTCACTCACTACAAAAGCAAAAGACTTGGCAGATGATGCAACATCCCCCCAATGAAAAGCAGGGGTGTCACTAGCATGTTAAGAGACCATACAATAAGTGTCAGGGGCCCGAGACTGTTCAACTGCCTCCCAGCATACATAAGGGGGATTACCAACAGACCCCTGGCAGTCTTCAAGCTGGCACTGGACAAGCACCTAAAGTCGGTTCCTGACCAGCCGGGCTGTGGCTCGTGCGTTGGTTTGCGTGCATCCAGCAGTAACAGCCTGGTTGATCAGGCTCTGATCCACCAGGAGGCCTGGTCACAGACCGGGCCGCGGGGGCGTTGACCCCCGGAACTCTCTCCAGGTAAACTCCAGGTATTAGTCATACACTTCAACATCCAAACATTCATCCATTTATAAATACTGTACCTGTATATTAAGCAACCATAGTGACCTGCTTTACTGGAAAGTGATCCTCTTCTCTCTCACATACGCTAACATGAGCCATACTCTCCTCATACAATCTTTTTACTGCTTGTAGTGACATACCCCCCTCTATACATTTGCAACATCAACCATAATACGTATGTCCCTATCCACCCCATCATATGCCTATTATAAATCCATAAATTATGGGGGAGTACTAAACCTATAGGGATTATACAGCACCTGTTTGGGGGTGGGGGAGGCAGAAGGCACTCAGATCAAGACCCCACTCACCCATTGGGAAAACCCCCCTTGGGAGTCTAAATCCATAAGCTGACAAAAGGTTTTCTGTCTTTATTTATGTTTAATATTCAGTTAGACACTTTCTACAATTCCTACCTTTGTTTTTTAAAATCTTAACTAAGCACTAAACCCACTAGGGTCATAGTGTTTTCCTCCTTTTTAATTCCTCTTTATTTTTCCCCTACTTTCTGTTTACCCTAACTTTAAATAAAAATTTTCTACCAGTACATTCACCTAGTATCTCAAAACGGTTTTTATTTTCCTGTGGTTAATCAAATTTAGTTACCTTTTGGTCCTGGCACATTCAAATTAAACACTGGGGCCTGTTGATGTGCATGCGTGTGTGTGTGTGTTTGTTGTTAGTATGGTGTGGTGTGTGTGTGGTTGGGGGGTGTGTGTGTGTGTGGTGTGTTTTTGTGTGTGTGTGTGGTGTTATGGTGGTGTATGTGTGGTTATCACCTATTCCCCAATTGTTTTTGCGGGGTCGGACTCGCTCCGGGCCCCGCCTCTTCACTGTTTGCTCTAGGTCCTCTCTCTCTCTTGCTTCCTGAGCTTTATCATCCTTTCTTAAAACTATGTATGGTCCTGCCTCCACTATTCATTGCTGGGTTTCCTTTCCGCGCCCCTTATGACTGAAGAAATACAGGGAAACCCCCAGTTAACGATATTTTTTCACTCCAGAAGTATGTTCGGGTGCCATACTGACCGAATTTGTTCCCCATAAGAAATATTGTGAAGCAGATTAGTCCTTTTCAGCCCCCAAAAACATACACGTACAAACGAACTTACATAATACCTTAAAAAATTTGGTGCATTCGGGGGAAAATCATAGGGGGGGGTCCCTGTATTTCCCTAACGCCCTGTGACTGTCTGAGTCTTCACTTCGTTTTCCCCCTTGTTCCCTTGCCCCCTTCTGGAACCCCATCTTGCCACCTTATCTATTCCCGCATTTTAATCTTGTATGTCGTTATCTGCCCCCCCCTGCCCCTTCTGTCCCCCCGGGTCGTCAGCCGTTTTCCCCCAAAACCTTTCCTCGTACGGTTTCCCCCAGCTCTGGGACTACCTTGTTAAAAAAACCCTTGTATTTTTCTCAATTTTCTTGATGTGTTTTGCCCAGGTGTGGGTTCCAGACTGGTGCTGCATTACTCCAGTATGGGCCTAACATACACAGTTACAGTGTCTTAAAGTTTCCCCTAAAAAGGTACAAAATGCTATTCTAGGTTTCCAGGCCCCGTAGCTGCAGCAGTTTTTTGGTTATGTGTGCCCCCCTGGGGGGTGGTGGGTTTTTGGTCACCCCAGGTCTTTTCCCTGAGTGAGGTCTGTAGTTTTGTCCACCTAGCCTATACTCTGTCCGGTTTTTTTTTTGCCCCTCCCCAAACTTCATGATTTTTTTTTGGCAGGATTGAATTTCCGAGAAGCAGTTTCTGGGCCACATTCCCGCCTGTCCCTGCTCTTTTCAGCCCGCCCCATCCTCATCCCTTTAATTCTTCTCTCAACTTACAAATTTTGCGAATAGGGGCACTTTCAAGTCTATTCTTTTCCCATGTCGTTCGCATATATCAAAAATAGCACTGGCCCCGAATACCCCTTTGGGGGCCCGCTCTCACAGGCGCCCACTGTGATACTTTTCACGTCCATGACTCGTTTCTGCCCCCCTGTCAGGTATTCCTGACCCCTGCGTGCCCCCCCTGTTCATGCGCCTGATCCTCCAGCTTCGCACTTCTCTTGGGGGAACGTGTCAAAGGCCTTCCTCGTCTAGGAAAACGCAACACCCCCCCCTCTCTCTCGTGTCTTACTTCTGTTTCCTTGTTTGGGGTGTGTGTGTGTGTGTGGTGTTTGTTGTGGTTTGGTGTTGTGTGTTTTTGTGTGTGTATGTTGTGTTTGTATGTGTGTGTATGATGTGTTGTATATGTGTGTGTATGTGGTGTAATGTGTGGTTATGTGTGTGTGTATATGTGTAAACCACAAGGGTCATGCAGCATGCTTATTTCTCTGCGTTCTTACATTTTCCTTGCCCCCGTTCCCCTTATTAATTTTGAAAAGACAAATTTATTCACTTAAGGGGGAAGCTTTAAACCCCCAGGGGGCCCAAAATTATTATAATGAAAACTAAGCTCTAAACCCAGGGGCTACACAGTTCCTTGAGAAAGGGGAATTTGAAGCAATCAGATTTGATCCAAGGAGTTACAGGGTAGCTTCAGTTCCCTGGATCAAGAGCTTTTCACCGGCATTAAGGCACTTTTGCAGAAGAAAGGTAGTTCAAATTCCTTGGATCAAGAGCTCTCCATCAACATGAAGGCACCCACTCCTACTTTAAGGGTGTTTTAATACCAATGAAATGTCCTAAATTAAGGTTAATTAGAACCACCTTCCACTTCCTTGGATCACCCAATTGCCTCCCATTACCTTGTGTTGAGTAAATTTAGACTTCTGAATAGTGGTTGGGGAAGGGGGGGGGGGTAAGTTTGTTGCTTAGGACCCGATAATTATACTAATAGGAGATTTATGTGTTGCTGTGATAGATTTGAGGTGATTAGCATTATTATAATCAGAGAAAGTGCTAAACTGACCAAGGTCATACAGTGCTGCAAGGTGATAAGCAGTTGTGGACCCCATGAACACACCATAGGCGAGGCAAGGATAGGTAATGATGCTTCCATACATAGCACATTTTCAAGAGTATGCTTACTATTTATGCATAATTTTTTTTTTCACTTTTAGACCTGGGGATAGAAGGTGGGCAGCAGCCAATCCCTGGGATCTGCAAGTTTGTGTACAACAGCAGCTACACTAGTAATGGTACTCTCTATTCTCCCAACCCTGGAGGATACTACCCCCAGGACACCACCTGTACCTACCTCTTTTATGGCCGTCCTGGTGAAGCAGTCCGACTTATTTTCAAGTACTTCGACGGTGGAAGGTGTCATGCCGTGAGTGTCTTAAATTTATACACAGAAATGAGTTTTTATTGCCCAGTTTTATGTACATACTAGGTGTTAAAATATTCTTGGTGCTAGTGCACAAGGAAACTGCAGCTTTAATAACCCATGGGCAGTTCAGTCTTTTAGCCTAACAAACTGAAATAATGTTGTAGGTGCAATGAGGCAACAGAGAGCGACTCCCTCGAGTTTTCGAACTTCCCAAGCGCTGACCGTAAGATTCCTTCCTTCTGCGGAAGTGTTGCCCCCACAGTTATCCAGAGCGATGGTGCCTTCTTCAGGCTCGTCTTCAAGAGTAACAGCAAGTTTAGTGGGACAGGGTTTACTGCCGACTACCAATTTCTGGACATGTCATACCAACCATACACTATCAAGAAAGTAATTATGTCTGCAGAAACAGTAGTAGGCTCATGTCAGCTTGGACACTTGTGATTAATATGTTGCTTCTGTGTGTCTTCAGTATCTTGGATAAATTGCACTTTCACCAGGTACTGTATACAGTGGACCCCGCATAAACGATCACCTCCGAATGCGACCAATTATGTAAGTGTATTTATGTAAGTGCGTTTGTACGTGTATGTTTGGGGGTCTGAAATGGACTAATCTACTTCACAATATTCCTTATGGGAACAAATTCGGTCAGTACTGGCACCTGAACATACTTCTGGAGTGAAAAAATATCGTTAACCGGGGGTCCTCTGTATACAGACTTGTTTATTTCTTGTTGTGCTCTATATACTACTTTTCCTAATGTTCCTTCTACATCTTCAAAGTAAAACCTTTTTGCCACTTTTGTTCTTACTGCAGCATTGTTTGCCATTCCTCAAACCTGAGGTAGGCATTACAGAGTGTTTTACCCTGATCACTGGGTGGTGCTTGTGCTGTGCAATAAAAATTCGTCAAAAGGGGGGCCAAATGCTTTTTCCCAAACGGGAAGCCCCAAAACCAAAATAAATTTGAGGGGAAAAACTTACATGTTTACTCTTGTTTCCCCTACTGGGGTGTGTAGTCGGGAAAAAAGGTACGCAAGTTGATGGCCAAGTACTCTTAAAACCCCCATTTCCGTTCTTAGGTTTTGCTAGCATTGGGGCCTTATCGAGGTTGCCCCCGGAATTGGGCTTTCACCTTGTTGTGAAACCCAAAGGGGCGGAGCTTTCCTTGTAGTTTTTCCCCCAATAAATTTCTATTATTAGGTAAATTTGGTATTATCCCAAACAAGTTGATAAATGAAGAACATGCATCCCCTGGGTAAATTTATTAACCCTTAAACGGTCCCAAACGTTTTTATACGTTTTTTTAACATTGAAAATATGTATAAAAAAAATTGTAGATCTTTTTTTTTTTACATTTAAAAAAGGTTTAAAAAAAATTTTTTATTTTAAAAAAATTTTTTTTTTTGCTATTTTTGGGAAAAATATTTTTAAAAAAAAGTAGATCTACTTTTTTTCCAATAAAAATTTGAACGTCGATCTGTTTGGGGACTTTTTAAGGGTTAAGAGACAAACCCCCGGGCCCCCTTCTTCCCCCCAAAACCTTTTTTAAAACATTCCTCCTCTCTTTCTTCCTTTCCCTGCAGCTCGGGTATAACTTTTTGGGTTTTGAAATTTAAATTTTATTATTTCTTCAAAGGGGGTGCTAAACCCACATGGGCTATGGAAAAATGGGAGGCATTCATGTTAAAACCAAGGAAATAAAAGGTCCTCATTGGGACCATGTCCTTTGCCAGTCTTTGGGGCAAACCCCATACCCTCTTGCCCCCAACAAAAATGCCCTTTAAAACTTGTTTAGGTTCTTTATCCAAAAAGCATATTATCCTTTCTTTTCCTTTCATGTATGAGCTTCCCCGTTTATATTTTATTATAATCAAAAAGAAGCGCTAAAACCCCAAGGGCTTTAAGCCCCTTTAGGGTGGGAAAGGAAACGGGGTATTGGGTTCCCGGGGGGGGAGGGATGATCAGTTTCGTTACAGAAAAAAAGCGGGGAGGGGTTTGTGCGGGGGTGGGGGGGGGATAGAAAGAGTTGGGAGGAAAAGGGGTGAAGGGATCGAGTTTGTGAAGCAAGTCAGTTTTTTGTCAAAAATCAATGAGAGAGTCCCGATGAAAGGTGGGTTTCAGCGAGAAGGGAAGGTAAAGAAGGGCGCGGGGTGAAGACGACGACGGAGGTTAAAATTTTGCATGCTCGTTGATTAAAATGGGGGTCCAAAAAGAATGGTTTACTGATAACGGGGCCTGAAATTCTCACAGAGAGGAGCAGGGTTTCCCCTTTTCCCTGAGGGTATCCCTGAGTAAGAGAGTTAAAGGGCCAAAGCGAAGACGGGAGAGAGTAGTCTCCCAACCCCGGACACTGGTGACAAGAAACGGCCAGTAAATTTTTACTTGGGTTTTAAAAATTTTAAATTTGTTACCCAAAATAGAGAAAACCCAAAGTTGTTGCCAACGGGTGTGAAGGGGGTAGCTATTGCAGCAAAATAGTCCCTAAAAGGAATACCTCTTTTATGAAGTTGTTAGGGAAGAAAATATGAAAAGTTAGGTATCTATTTCCCAAAAGTTTCGCCTTCACAGTTGGCTTTTTCGTCGAGTACAGCAAAGTTGTTGGAGCAGAGAAAACTTGAAGACGATGTTTCAGGGCCATCACCCCTTTAAGTTTTGAGGTGGTTAGTCCCCCAGTTGGGAAAAGTATTGTTCCAGACAAATACTGGTAGGTCATTTACGGGTGAACCCCCCCAGTAGTGTCTGCCCTTTTTCATTTCCCTGTTCCCTCAACATGGGCCAGGGACCCCAAAAAAAAAACAATCTTTATGTTGGTAAATGCGGGGGTAGCCAAAGGTTTGGGTACGGAGGACTTAAAGGGGGGAGGTGTATCAAAATTTTTGTTAGCCCGTAAATTATTATTATTAAAAAAAGGGGGGAAGTGCAAAACCCCGGGGGATTATACGCGCCTGGGGGGGGGGGATGTGGAAGGCTTTTAGGCTTAATTCGGGGAAAATGGAGCACGATAAAAATTTCCTAAATCAAGAGCCCCTCACAACATTTAATTATTATTTTTTTTTAAACAAAAAAAAAGGCAAGCCCCAAGGACTAACAGCGCTGCAGGGCAGGGAAAGGGAAATTTAGGGCTTTGGTGGGAAAAAGGGGGTTTGGGTGAGCAAAAAGGTTTCGGATAAAAAGCGGGGGAGGTAAATTCTGCGTGCTTCGTTGATAAAGTGGGCAGTCTAACAAAGTGGTCTGACTGGAGATTGGAACCTGACAATTCTCACAGAGAGAGCAGGGCGCCTCTCCCATGAGATATCATGAGTAAGACGAGTATGTCCAATCGAAGATGGAGAGAGTATCTCCCAACCTGACACTGGTGACAAGAATATGGCCAGTAACCTATACTCAAGTTAATAGATTGAAGGTTTGTTACCGAGCATAGTGACCAACCGGTTGTTGCCCAACGGTGTGAAAGGTGGGTAGCTAACGCAGCAAAATAGTCCGTAAATGGATTACCTCTATATAACCTGGTAGGTCATGTACTGCTTGATCGCGCAGCAGGCCTGCCTGTTCACTGCCCTGTTGGTCAACATACCAGGACCTCAACAACAAACAATATATTTATGCTTGGGTAAGATGCGGCATAGCCCAAAGTTGGATTACGGAGGACTAAGGTGAGGTGTATCAAATTTCTGTATACCTGTAAAGCACTAAAGGGAGTCGAACAACCACAAATGATGACACAGGTATAGATGCAATACGGATAATTGCTGCAAGAATGGCATACAATTCAGCAGTAAAAAACTAGCCGAAGATAGTAAATGCCCTCGTACAACCGTCCGAAACACTGCCCTGCGAATCCTACGCCGTCAGAATACTTAGATCCCATCTGTGTACAACTGCAATGGCATGAGCATGAAGAGTGAAGTGGTCAAGAAAAAGATAGCGGAAGCGACCGTAAGACAGTTTGCTTTCGAGAAGGGAGAGAGAAAGAACAGACTCAAACAGCTGGATCTTCCCAGGGGGGTAGGGAAAAGTGAGATGCTACACTGGAACATAGAAAGGTGGTAATTGAAGAGAAGATGAGCGATATGTAGGCGAAGAAGAGAATTATTATTATTATTCTTATAATCAAAAGAAGCCTAAGCCACAAGGACTATACAGCGCTGCAGGGCAGAAGGAAGCCCGAGGCATCAGGTGGCAAAAGGAGATGGCTGACAACAGGTTACGAATAACAAGCGGGGCAGTGGATGGTGAAAGGGTAAAGGGCAGCAAGAGACTGAACCAGAAAGGGCACGAGGGGAGGGTGAAAAAGTATCATCAGAGTTGTGGAAGTAAATCAGTCGTTGTCAAAATCAATGAGAGAGTCAGGAGTAAAGGATGGGACCATCAGCAAGAAGTGGAATGTAAAGAGAGAGTAGGAGAACGAAGACGACTTGGAGGTAATTTCGGCGTGCACGTTGATAGAGAGGCATTCTAACAGAATGTGGCTAATCGATACTGGAACTTGACACTGCTCACAAGAGTAACAGGGTGCCTCTCCATGCGATATCCCAATGAGTAAGACGAGTTTGGCCAATGCGAAGGCGGGGAGAGGAGTGGTCTCCCCAACCTCGACACTGAATGACAGAAGAGAAAAAAAAAGACGCCAGTAACCTATGCTCGGTTTAATAAATGAAGTTTGTTACCGAGCAGAGTTGAACCAACGTTGTTGCCAACGGGAGCGAAGGTGGGTACTATAGCAGCAAAATTAGTCAGAAATGGAACACCTCGATAGGAAATTGGTAGGTCATATACTGCTGACCGCGCAGCAGTGTCCTGCCTGTTCATTTGCCCTGTACTCGACATGACCAGGGACCCAACAAACACAATATCTTTATGTTTGGTAGAGATACGCGTAGCCAAAGTTGGATACGGAGAACTAAGGGATGAATTGTATCAAATTTTCGTATAGCCTGTATAGCACTAAGGGAGTCTGAGACTACTACAAATGATGACACAGGCATAGATGCGATACGAATAAGTGCTGCAAGAATGGCATACAGTTCAGCAGTAAAAATGCTAGCGAAGATATAAATGCCCTTGTACGACGCTTCGCGGAAACACTGCTGCGAATCCGACCCGTCTGAAGACTTATGAGCCATCTGTGTACACAGCGGTGGCATGAGACTGAGAGTGGAGGATCAAGAAAAAGAGAGCGGAAGCCATCGAGCAGTTGAGTCTTCGAGTCAAGGGAGTGAGAAAGAACTGACCGAACAGCTGGAACTCCCCAGGGGGTAGGAAAAGTGAGATGCTACATGACCATATAAAGGTGTTAACTGAAGGGAAGACAAGAGTGAAAGTAGGCGAGAGAAAAGGGACGGAGCACACAGGGCGGCGACGAATTAAGAATGTCTACTAATATCGGTGACCATTTCTATAATGGAAGATTGTGTAGATCGTGAGAGCGTCATAGTAACG